TTTGTCCCTCACACGTAAATAAACACCAAAAAACCCAGCTGAATCTAGCAGACCAAATCAGACTGCAAATAAACTCCCTTTAGCCTGCCACAGTGCACCTTCCCATTCTGTTCTGGGCTATTGGGGGGTTGTAGAAGGCAAAACAGGACGTCCCATCCCTGTTAACAGCAAAAGCTACCATGTAACTTTTTTAAACTGCAGTCCTAAGAAGAATAGGCTATAACTAGCGGTCCTTGAACTCCTAGTGCTCACAGGTGTGAGTTAACAACAGAGTACCTGTAGAACTAACCAAGAAAGTGTGGCTGTGCTTCTTTCTCTAGCCCACCTTACTAGGCTGGCATGAATTACCTTACCTTCAGGCAAGGCTCCAGCTGTTCTGCAACTCCAGTGCAGGAGAACAAGACCCTTTCCCTAAACCATTGTTGGGAACCTGAAGCTTGACAGAGCAGAAGGGGTTCACACCTCTCATTTCTGGCTCACCAAAGACTGGCTTGCAGAAAAAGTATTCTGTAATGCAGCCCAAACTGTTTCAAGCATGCCAAATGTGATGATTTAGAATGTGTGTACACTCCACATTCTTCATCATGTGAAAAGGCATTTGTAGGAAGTGCATTTTCTAATCAGCAATGAAAGAAAGTTAATACCTTGCTTATTCCTCCCCAGTCACTGCTTATGAGCAGAGTGCAAACTGAGAGGCAGAGAAATACAACTGGATTGCTTTACAGATACAGATAACCAAGATGGACGCTCCATTGGTGTTTACTTTCTTGAATGACATAGTAAAAAAAACCCCAAACCTAAGTCACGCTGTTCCCAGAAACAAATGCATTTCAGATAGTATAAATATTTCACTCTTAAAATAGACTTTAAAATTTTATAGACTTTGCATTTTATTTGTTTGCACTGAGAACCTGCTCTTCATTGTTACTTCCTACCAGCAAGCAATGACACTTTAGCCAAATATGTGACATGGCAGTTGACAAGGCTTTCTGTGAGGGAAATTCCGAGATTCTGGAATTTATTCACACAACCTCCATCCAAGATACTCAAAACAATTTCTTTTTTTAGCTGGACGAAAGAGACATTAATTTGACAGTATTATGGAAAAGGCAGAGGATGAACTCCCAGACTGGCCAGCAACAAGCTATCCCTTTCACAGAAAACAGATCTTAACTATGCCAGGGTTTAAATCATATTTATATAAATACAATAAAATTTAAGCAAAGGCTATAGGCACCTTTATTTTTGAGTCTGAAGTAATTTCAGTTACCCTTATTTACAGATACAAAATTAAAATAGTCTCCAAAATACTATAGTGAGATGAAGCACAAGTGTTCTACAGTAAAGAAAGAGTGCTGTGTGGTGTATTTCTGTTTTGCCAATAAAAAATATGCAGATCAACACCTTCTAAACTGATGTCTACATAATCTGCAGCTGGAAGCATCACAACCTCAATGGTAAATAATATTTGAGTGGAGGAAAAAGAAGTACTTTCCACATGATCTAGTCAGTATGGACACATGCCCCTTTTCAAAATGAAGAATTATTGAGACGAACCTTCATCTTTTTTCTACCCTTTTATTTTGCATTTCTGGTTAAAAGAAAGGATGACCTAGAAAAGTTTCATCTCCTTCCTAAAGTGCAGATGACTAAATCAGCTAGCTATGCAAAACCAATAAACATATTCACAGTGACTAGCTAAGGATTGATATGTTATCTTCAGAAACCAGTGAGAAACAGAATCCTTCCCATGAATTCAATACAGCTTCCAAAGCCAGATAAAAGTCAGAGGCACTTAAGCTGGTTTTTTTTTTGAGAGAAAGAAACTATGCAAGGCCTTTTTTCCTCACAAAAGATCTGTGACAAGTACAACTACAATAAATTCAACTATTCTGTATTCAATTGTGCAGTTCCTTTAAACCTCCTATTGAAGTCCTGCTTCATAAAGCAGTCCGGAGAATGAGGAAAGCCTGGATAAATACAGATGTGACTTTCCAAAGAGCAGACAAGCCTTTTAATGAAATGTACTACCTGCAGGGGAGGTCAATTCTAAACAAAAACCAAAAAAAATGGGGGAATTTGAGTTGCATTATGCAAAGATTTGTAAATATATATTTTTCAAATGTTTCTAGTCTCCCATGCTTTTTTCTTCTTTCTTCATTTTAACTTTTAAAAAGAAACACATCCTCTAACCACATTAGGAAACCTACTGAGATTTAATCTTTTAGGATTATCAGGTAGCTTGTTTAAAATTAACCCAAAACAAGCACTTATTGTGAGATATGCCTTATGACTAAGCAGAAGTCATCTGGATTTTCTATCCTTTATGGTGTGTTTGGAGATAAGTGATACTTACTGGTATGAACTAAACTTCTCTGCCTACCCCTTCTTGAGCAAATTACTAATTAAGCAGACACTTGGTAAACCTTGTGTGCCATTACATGGAGATAATATCTAGGTAATGAGAAGACCAATATCCAGGTAATGAACTGTGGAAGAATCTAGCAAACCACTCATTTTTTCACTAGCTGAACCTTTCTGAAACACCTGACCTCAACAGCCTTGCAAGTCAGCCACAGAAGCATTTTCTCCTGTTGCTAATAAATTACACTTTTCGGACTAAACCAGCCAATATTTAGAAGTGAGGCACAGGCAGATTTCCCACACTAGAAGACCTATGGCTTTATGTTTCTGTGTGCAGCCTTACACTGTACCAAGATCAGTTCCTTTGCTGCACTGACCCAAGGACTCACCATGATACTCTAGCACAGCTACTCTTTTGCTGCTTCTCATCTCCTGAGCCACTACTGTGCAGTCTGCTGCTTACAACTCACAGCCTTTCCCCTATGGGCAGCTGGATGAGGCAACAGAGGCCAGTGCTGAATCACAAGGTGCCTGCACACAGGCTCCAACTGCTCACAGCTGGCTTCCTTGGCTTCCCTCAGCTTTTGAGGGAACCCTGTTGTGCGCCCTCTAGTGACAAACCTCTGGCAGCAGGAGATTGCAGACTGTCCTGCGTTTGGGAAGACCCAGGTGGAACAAGATGCACAGGTCCATGAAGCAGAAGGGCCCATGGATACATGGGCCTATTTATCCCCTCCACTATGCTCCACTCCACTCATCTTACTGGCACAAGATGGTGGTTGGTGGTCTCCTCCAACTGAACTGCTTTATTCTACTAACACTCAGATCAGCTATAAAAGACACACCAAATATAAACCTCTGGCAAATCAAGAAGACAGATTCAATATATTAAAATACATTCAAACAGAGCACTTGGAAGACTTTAAATAATCCTGTGCTTGTTGTCGATGTTACAATTTGTTTCACAAAAGCCTGCACCTATATTCTTAATTTTTGAAAACACTTTCACTTTTCCAGTCTGAAAGCCTGAGTACAAACCAGATTATCTGCATATGATGTTTGAATGACTGCATAGAAACTGACAAATATGGCTTACTGCTGATCAGTAAGCTGACTTCCAGCTGGTTTGTAGAAGACAGAAGGAACCACTTTTTGCTTTTAGAGTCAAACTTTGGTATCTCTGTCTCTGCCTTTTGTCCTCTGAACTTCATAGTTCTCAAATAAGCACTCTTTATATGCCTGCAGGCTTCTTAAAATACTGCCTGCCTCTTGAAATACTGTCTCATTTACCCTGTTTCTGTAAGCTTTGGTAAAAGGCTCTTGGCCACAAGTGCTTTCAAGGAAGTCTTATTCAAAGAACAGCAAAACCACAAAGAAATTAATACAGAAATGGAGAGGCCACGTGCATCTCACAAGATACAAAACAAACATGCAAAAGCATTACAGAGGGAAAGACTGACACTCTGGTACAGCAGGTAGAGCACTGCACCATAAATCCTGAGGCACATGCACTGACGTGGTGATAAGCATTGAGCTGGATACACAAGTCTTGGCTCCCCCAGTGGAAAGGTCACTCAACTTCCTAACAGGGCATATTAACGGGGCTGCCAGACTTGTGCCCATCAACTGTGTTGGCAAGGGAAATCGAGTGGCAAGGGCTGGTTGGCACAAGGCAGCCAACCAGATTCAGTGTGAAGCATGGCAATCACTTCCATACACCCCTGAGGTCAGCGTGCTGAGCTAGAAACCTGAAGACAAACAGAGCTCTCCCTGATCAGGCACAACAGTACTCCTCAAGTCCTGCAGTATAACCCCACAGTCTGGTAAAGTACCACCCATACTAGAAAACTGTTGACTTTTGACTCTGAAGTCATACACAAACCAAAAGCAGATCACTCTGAAAGGAAAACATGCCTCACAATTAAACTATCCCATTACCCATGGCAGACTGCGTGTATTTTAAACTTGCCAGAACCGTAAGATATGGGATGGATTCTTAAACAATCACTTTATGTCTCTCTGGTCAAAATTAGCTGTCTGTATAATCTCCTGTTCCATGGCATTAAGAGCACTTTTTTGGTTTATAAGTAATATACAATACAAAGAAACAATGTTTGATTTACTGAGATCCAGCCTATAAAACATCAAACCAACCTCCCAGCATTTTATTTTAATGGCATCCAAAAATACCAAAGTGACTGAAGTGCAAAGGACAATGCAAATCAATATTTGAAGTACTATTAACAAATAAACCAGATGCAGAGAACTAAGGCCCTATTACCAAGTGGGAATGGCAAATGGATAAAAATTAACTTACAAATAAAAGCATAAAATGTATTTTCTTTGGCACCAAAATGCCATTCATGGTTATTACCCTTAAGATTTGTGCCACACTAGTTAAAATGATGTTGGCTTAAAATCACCTAAATCAGCAGAGCCATGTTGACTTCCTCCTCTGATATTCTGATAAAATTTTTTTCAAAACCTGAAGACATGCCAAAACTTGTTTTGCTCTTCTATTTTGCTAGAAATGAATCACAGCCAGACTACAACTTACTTTGTAGAGCTGAGTGTGATTTTTTTTTCTAGCTATGCATGTTATACACAAACAAATGCTACTTTAAAACATTACTTACAGATTGCCAAGCAAGAGACTCCATAATTTGATGTTCACAGCATTGCAGATGCCTTATCATTTCCCTTGTTAGGCTTGGTTCTGCTTTAATAAAGCTTTCAATCACCTTGTAGAAGTCAAAAGCTTTTAAATCAAATACATTGAGAATCCATGGGAAAGACAAGTTTGTTTCAGCACTGGTACCATCACTCTGTGAAGTATTTCCTGCAGGGAAGATAACTAGTATTATCAAGAGTACTATATTCTTTCACTTCTGATTTCTTTTTCCTTTTTGTATTGTTATTTTCCCCAACATTGAACACTTGTAAGATGCAGCTGGACAGAGTGCTGGGCTATCTTGCCTAGACAATGCTTTTGCAAAGAAAGGACCAGCTGATCCTTGAGGTCACTTCCAACCTGGTACTCCATGATTCTATTACACTGAATCATTGCTAGTTCAGAAATTTCAGTGAGCACTTTTTTTCTTCCTATTTACTATATTTTCTGTATAAGAACAAATGGCAATACTTATCACTAAATAACAATGCTATTTAGGACTTTAGGTTCAACTTACTGACATATGTAGCCATGACAACCTCAACAGCACATGCCAGAAGAGATGTATGGAAGATGTTATCATTCAGAAGTGTGCTAAGGAGAAAGAAAGTTATTAATACTTGTTCTAAAACTAAAAGGGCAGCCTTTGATAACAAGGTGTGATATTTCAGGCATGATAACATACCTGAAATTCTGCACTGAGAGGCGCTCTTCCTCCTGAAATGTATACATCAAACCAAGCTCGTGAATATTCTGAGTATTGGTAAAAGCAAAGCCAGCACTAAGCTACCAGTACTACACTTACCGACTTAAGCATAGACTCCATTACTCTGTAATACAGACGTACTCCGAGCTTGTATCGCTGGGAAAAGACAGGAAAAAATGTTACAAGAAGTTTTAACAGACTGCAACAGGCAGACTCTCATGTCTTAACAATTCAGAAAATTTTTGGTTTTTAAAAGAAACCATAAAGAAACCATTATCCCCAGCTCCATTTGCCAGGATCAGCAGAGAGTCCTCAGAGGTTACTAGGGTGATGTGACTACCCCAACCACATGGAGACTGATTAACCAGGTATTTATGTCAATCCATAACTAACAGGATAACAAACAGTGCTGACAGACATAAGACTGTCGAGTACAAACTCGGTTGGATTTGTTCTCCAAAATCCTTGTTGAAAGCACAACTTGCCTACTGATTTCGTAAGGAAGTGAGTCATCTTGTGCAGTTGTAGGCTAAATTACTTAAGGAATGCAAAGTTATGTTTCACTAAACATATACTGCCCAGCCCTTTTCCCATTCTTCATTAAAGTATTTTCAACATATTTCCACCCAATTCCCTTTATTTTAAGAATTATTTGTTGGATATTATCTTTACAGAGCTTTAGAAAAAATATATCTCCATGTAACAAGATGAAAACAATCTTGTTACTTTTTACCTTCATTGAAAGAGGATAGTCAATTAATCAGGTCCCACATAAGGTAGTACCACCAGTGTTCAAATGAGTAATACTCAGTCAAAATTATAGTTACCTGTGAGCCAATCTCAGCACATCCCTGTCCAACAGCTTCAGCAAATTTCTTTTTGAAGATGTGGTGAAAACTTTCCACTCTTTTCAGAATACTATCCTTAGGGTTTACTGTGCAGTTCTAATAAAGTACAGGAAGAAGGACAGGAAAAGGAAAGGCAAGGGAATGTTATTTTACTTTAAAAACTTGATGACTTAATCACATTAGTCCTGCTTCACTTTGTAACACCTCTCAAGCAGCTCACCAGTACAAAAAGAAGTGGAATATGTAAAAGAAACAGAATAATTGTATATGATTCAACAGTTTCTAGTAACTCCAACTTCGTATCTCACATGCAAACAGATGCAACTAACCCTACTAATACATGAGTTGTACTATTGACGTTCATGTCTTTAAAGTTAGAAATATTTTTAAGTTGCTCAACGTGGACACATGAGAACCCCTGTGAGTACATCCTCCTTCTCTTCTGTCTCTTTTTTATATCCCCTTCTTTTCACATCTAAAACATACGCCAATAGACCTTAATATTTAGTGCAGTATCAAAAGGGTTCCAGTACACACCAGTTAGAAAGAAGTATTTCTAAAATTATTACATTTAAACCATCCCAATTAAAATGTACTACTTCAAAAATGTTTGTTAAGAAAGGATTTTGAAAAACATGCAGCCAATCTGTATATGTACATTTTACTTGAGTGATAATTCCAACAATCTTTCACAAACCCTCCTTCCAGTCACTTACATTGAAATACACGATGAGAGTATCTGACGGTTTATCAGTTGCTGAATTTAAAATCATAATCAATTGCTGAATGTTATTCATTGCAGCTCTGGAAAAATACAATAAAAAGCATAATAACATTAAGTTTCACTTAAAAGCTTCCAGAAACTGAACAGCAATTCTACAACCAACAACAAAAAAAATATTATTTTAGTTTTCAACTCAGTTATCAAACAACCTTCTGATAAAACCTGTTGGATTGTGTCAATCACTGTGAATTCTAATAATCTAATTAATCATCTAATTTTTAGAATGATTCCAATCCATAAGTAAACAACAAAAATAACATAAATCAAGTAATAAACACTAACAAGCACTTTCAAAAGCAATAAAATGGTGGAATTGCAATCCTTGCATGTGAAAATACTCATTAAATTAAAGCAACTCCCTAGGAAAAAAAAATGTCTTTTATACAAAACTAATACAAAAACCTGCTGAATGAAGACAGCTTTTATGTTTCAAACCACCTGTTCTTAAGTGTAATAAGCAAGATGTATCCAAATAGGGCAAACACAGGAAAAAACAGTCTTTTTAACATCAACGCTTTGAAAAAACTGTATTTTTCAGAGGGACAGCCTGTCAACATTTCCACGAGCAACGGAAGGAGAATACAGAATCTTCTCCCTCCCTGGATCCAACCCAGAATTCACATTAAAACTTAAATTCTTACTTTAACTCCTATCCCCTTTATTTTCAATAGAAAGGCTACAATTTTTGTAGTCCTTACTCTACCTGCTGTATCTGTAGCTAGGTTAGAAGGACCTTAAATACAAAATATTCTTAACTTTTAAGGGATTATGGTGGGGAAAATGATGTGGACATTAAAACAAATGTTTTGTTCCCAAGAAATACAAACAAAAATTATTTACTGTCTATATGAAAAGTAGATAAAAAATATGAATAATGTTTTATTAACTTGGATATACTGAAGTATCAAAGTATGTCTCCGTATACAATCATACTGACATTTTTTTACAGGTACAGAGTAGAAAAATAAAAACAAAACAGTGACATAAGAACTATCTGCATCTCTACTTAATTCTATGATTAATGCCTACAATTTTCTTGCTAATAACAGATACAAAACCACACACTGATCCATATCCAATGTATTAATGTAGAAAACTACTAACACTAACAAAAGTAACACCAGTATTTCAGAAGAGCTGTAATAATCTAAAGAATTTAGAGTCTTTGGAAGACAAGTGCATAGGTTCCTGTTGTTTATTCCACAGGAGTGGGTATCTCTCTGAAAAGCATTTTTCATTTTCTCGGCTAAAACTGATCTCCTGATGAAACATTTTTCATTACTTTCAGAAAGATCATTATTTTAAGATAACAGAACTTGGCCTCTTCTCAAATAGCTTGTACACTATCCAGGAGGTGACAGAATAAATATAGTCAGGAAAATAAGAACAATAATGATCTTGTCATAGAGGACATGAAGATATGTGCATGAGCCAGCATCTAAATAGCCCACATTTCCAACTTTTAGGGATATCATGTGTTGTTCTGCCTTTATTATTTGCACATACATACAGAACTAGCAATGTATCCAGTACATCTATAAGTACTCCTGTGACCTGGCTTTTTTAAAAACTTATTTCAAGTTGTGTATTAAGCAACAGCATTAAGTTTCTATTCTTCTGGAAATAACAGTGTATTAATATCTCTCCTAACATCTAAGAAACAGTTTTATTCTTCCAGTTGTATTGTTATTTTCTGAATTGTGGCTCTTGTCCTTTGGTGAGTTTTCTGTTTATTTGTTTTAAATTTATGTGCTATTTAACCTCAATTTGGCCCATATCACTCAGAAAGTAAGTGGAAACAGAAGAAAAGTCCAATCATTACAATTGTAGTAGTGCAAAGATCCATTTTTCTTTAATCTCGTTTTTAGAAGATTTTGGTAAAATCACTTCTACCAAAACTCTTAGTAATAAGGAAAAGTGTAAGGGCAGTGGAAAAACATAGAATGAAAACAGAATTCATTCTCATTATGCTCTGATCCAGTACCTACTGTCATTTCACCTATTGCTTTCTATAAAAATTCTCAGATACAAACCCACTCATGAAAATTACTAAATTCTCACCAATTTCAGGGGGCTTTAGAGCAGATCCTAGGTGTCTAGATCCAGGAACAAGACATTATTAGAAGAGTCAAAGTAAAAAGTATGGTGCTTTAAACATAACCTGTAAGGGGTTCCACTTAATGCAGGGAGTTAATGATCCACTTTCCACTCTATGCTGGTGATCAAAGGTTCACTGCCATCTAGTGACAGTCCTGTGGCTCAATGAGAAACAGTTCCTACTGCCCGTATCACTGCTGGTGACCAAGCCTTCACTGGAACTGTCTTAGATAGATCAGTTTCAGAAAACTCAGAGAAAAATCAAGTGTGGATGGAAAGAATCTAAATAACTTGTTCGACCTTCTCTCAAGATCAGAGTTGGTTTAGCACACTTCAGATTTTTAGCAATGTGGAAACTTGGTACTCCTGGACTTTATTAGTAAGACTTGCATGTCACAAAAATAAATGAAGCATCTTTCTCACAGAGTCAGTTTTTTTAAATGCTAGTATAACTTAAAACTGTCAATAACAAGTTACTGATATTTGTCAAAAACTGGATTTGTTATCAACGACCTTCTTGTTAAATACACTGCATGTATATAGATGTATTGTATATAGATGGTCTAGTTCCTGGTATCATACATTCAGCACGGGAACTGAAAGACAGACTGATGCCTTTATAACTAAAAAAACATCACTGGCAGTTAAAGAATTTAAGCATAAGACTAAAAGGGAGCACTAAAGCAATCCAACCAAGCCTTCCGCAGTCACAGGCAATTAAGTTATTTCATCTACTGATCAGTATCTATCTCAGCTGCATGTCTCCATTACTATTTTTTTGAAGAAACTTCTCAGAACTTCACTGCTTTGTTGGCTGGAAAACAATCTGTTTCTGCAGATGACAGTTAGTACGTTTATAGTGGACACACAAGCCCAGAGTCTAATCCATTCTTCCACAAGTATATAAACACTGTAGTGGCATTTTTAATAAAAACAACCCCAATTTTACTCATTTGAGAAAAGTGAAGTAATAATTAAGGGTATCATATTTTAACTTATCTCCACAGCATGCTAAATGAAAAGCGTTTACACAGCAAGCCTGAACAAAAACACCGTCCAATTTTATTAAACCTGACAGCTTAAGAATGACTGCCCGCACAAACACTCCTCTGTTTGTCCACACAGCACATGGCACTGCAGTGACTCAGCTCACTGGCTCTTGATTGTCCAGCAATTTCTAAGCATTACCAGAGAAAAAAAACAAACTGATTTTGTCAAAAATCTATGTGGCACAAGGAATAATTGTACATGCAGATCTCCTTTCCTTTGGTTAACTGAATTCAAGCTATATTTGTCTGTAGATCAATTAATCTCCAGTTAATACCACATTTTTATCATATCTGTTTTTCCAATAGACCAAAATATGTATGCACTCTGAAATGTTCATCATCTTCCCAAGACAGAAAAAAAATACTAAGAATAAAAAGAACATGGGAGAATAAATGCGTGTGCATATGCAATCTGGTATCAGGAAAGGAAGCCAGAAGACACAGAGCTAAAGATGGGAAAGGAAGATGGAAGTGTAGCAGACAGAAGTACTACCATGGACGTATAGAGCTGCATTCTCATAAGAACAAATACAGTAATCTATTTTATATATTACACAAGTCAGTAAAAAGCTTTTTATGTTTCCCAACTACTTCACCGGGAACCGAGGGCACTCAACACCCCTCTCTACATGCTCACTGCTCATTAGTGACCAGACTTTTTGAAAAACAAAACAGTTGCTTTAAAATTAAAACAACACTCTAAAGATTAATATTTCTACTTAGGATGTGAAACAAAAGAACTCTAATACCGAACAGGAGTCTGTGGAAGTGTAAGATTAGGTTCCTCATCCGGATTGTTTTTTAGTGGTGTCCTCTCCAACTGTGAGCTACAGAAATGAAAAAAAAAAAAAAGTTACTAAGTACTACTGTAATTCAAAATTGTTCCTATAAAGAATTATTATTATTCTGCAGAAAAAAAAAGTAAACTATGGAACAGAATTTTAGAAGATCTAGACACCAACCAATCCAATTGTTCAAGCAAAGTAACCTTAAGTCCCAAGCAGATCTGCTTTGGGCAAAATGTTGGACTAGGTGACCTCTGAAGCTCTCTTCCAACTTCATTTTTTTTTTAGAAACCTATTTATAGCAATTTAATTTATAAGTACAACTGGTATTAGCTCCATTTCAATCCAATCTTAAACATGTATTTTTCTAGCATAGATAAAGTCACAGACTCACACTGTGATCTCACATTATCTACAGCAGTGAAAATATTGACTTGCCAGGAACCACCAGAATTTTAGAGTAAGACAGTAAGAACTCAAATACGTCTGTATTACTTAACAGCACCAGTGAACGTGCCTGGGCACTGGCGCTCAACTGCTTATTCTGCTAAACCATCCATGGCGTATTTCTGTCCCATGCAAGCTGCCATTCCCCAATTTGTGGGTACAAGTCAGAAGTCAGAATGGCCTGAGGATCACTTCCAGCAGGCAGGTTCCAAACGCCATCTGCTGTTTTCAGGAAGGAGGAGCTGGAGAGTGAGGACCCAAGCCAATCCATGACAGAGCTGTAACACCACTGGACAGATCTGATCAACTGGAATGACACAGCCTCAGCCTCCTCCTCCTGCTTCCTAAGCTTCTCCTGGATGACAGAAGCTTGCACAGAGTAAGAACTAGAGTAGAACTTCCAAATAATTTTAGGTAGAGACACAGTCATATGTTTTCTAATTACTTAAGCTATAACATAAAGCAAGGCTGGGGTTGCCAGTAATACCTTAGCTGAACTACAAAGCTAGGACATCAACAGGATACAGAAATCTCCATTTAGAACATGCAGCAGGGGGGGAAAGGCAGGAATCAATGTAAGTTCACTTTTCTTTTATAACATGAAAGCAGGAAATGGAAACATTACCATGCTATAACATCAGGCTGTAGAGTTTCATCATGATCCAGAAATAATCTTGCATCTATATCTTTGCTGTTGAGATACAGCTCTTCATACTGTTTTGAGAGAACTTCAACCTCAAAAAAGATTGAAAAAAACTTATATAGTTTGACAGTTGACTGAGTAATATAAGCTAGTCCTACCTTATTAATACAATGCTGAAATACTAAGAGAATGACCATGGAGCTCACAAAGTTACTTCTTACACAAATAGCTGAAACACACCCAGAGGAACTCTTCCCATGCACAAAGACAATCTTTAAGAAGAGAAAACAATGTACGATTATGAGGTTTTTTTGAAGAAATGTAGGTTTTAACACCATAAAAGAGCTAAAACTGGGGTGGGAGAAATGTGTCCACTTCTGGTGCCCCCAACATGGAAAGGATGTGGAGATGGAGCTCTTGGAGTGTGTCAGAGAAGAGCCACAAAGATGATCCTATGCTCCAGGTTGAGCAGGACAGGCTGAGACAGTTGGGGCTGTTCAGCCTGGAGAAAAGAAGGCTCTGGAGAGGCATTCCAGTACCTGCAGGGGCCTACAGGAAAACTGGAGAGGGACTTTTTACAGGAGCTTATAGTGATAGGATGAGGGGCAATGGCTTTAAACTGCAAAAGGGTAGATTTAGGTTAGACATTAGGAATACTACGTGCAGTTCTGGTCCCCACTACACTAAACAGGATGCCAACAGGCTGGAGAGGGTGCAGAGAAGGGCCACAAAGACAATCAAAGGACTGGGAAGCCTGACATACAATGAAAGGGTGGGAGAACTGTGTTTGTTCAGGCTGAAAGGCTTAGGGAGACCTTACTGCCATGTTCCAGTACTTAAAGGGTGGCTACAAAGAAGATGGAAACTCCCTTTTTACAAGGAGTCATGTGAAAAAGACAAGGGGTAATGGGCACAAGTTACTCCTGGGGAGGTCCCAACTGGACACGAGAAGAAAATTTTTCACCATGAGAACAGTTGAACATTGGAATAAACTCCACAGGGAAGTGCTGGATTCCCCAACAATGGGCACTTCAAAGACTCAGCTTGATAGGGCACTGGGACATCTCATCTAAACAATGCTCCTATGTAGAAAGATTGGACCAGATGATCCTTGAAGTCTCTTTCAACATAGCATTCTGTGATTCTATGAAATCAAACTAATGTTTCCAAGATTTAAAAGCTTTCAGAAAAATAAGTGTACCAAAGAGCAGGAAATGTAGCATGAGTGTCCTCAGAAAAGCTGTAAGACCATCTGCAAGGTCCCTGTCTCTGCTGGTTTGCAGGTGAAGATCAAGACCCAAACTCAAACCCTCTTGGTTCTGAGTGCAAGAAGAGTTTCCCATTTCCTATGTTCTATATATTCGTAATGGTATCATTTTTAATAGACATGCCTGCTTCTACATAAACATAGACGATTATTTGATATCCACATTGTTTTATAAATTACTTTTAGAAGCTTTTTAGTTGGTAAGATCACATATTGGTAACACTCCATTCTACATGAATAAGTTTGTTATTTTTTTTTTGTTGTTTGTTTTGAATGTCTAACTAACTGAAAGTCTGGAATTTTTTTATCAGGTCCAAATACTAGACTCAACTTCAAATCTGCTGCTGTGCTCCTGCAGAAGTAGGCAGGCACTTCAATTATCTGTTCTCTGAGTCTTCAAGCATACTAAATGATGCTCTGCTCCAGCAAACTCCTGCTACAAAAACAGGCAACAGTGCACATGAAGTCAAATGAGTCCCCTTCCAGTTCCAAGAAAAAGCAAGCTGCAAATATCTCCTACACAGCTTTGCTCATTATCCTCGCCTTTTACCTTGGCCAAATTAATTTGCTCTAGACTAATCTCATGGTAAAAACTTTGAGATTAGGACTATGAAATCACATATTATCTTTAGATACCTGTTATCACTTCATTTGTTTTGTTTTTCATGTTAATTATATTTTCATTTCTCATTATCGTCCTAATGGCTTATGTGTTCTTTTTGTCTAAAATATTTCAGGTATTTTATATACTTCTAGAAACTTTGGATTCTCACTCCAAAAACCAGCAGCTCTTAAAGAAAATGGCAACACTGGGCTAACTGGGAAGAAACCTTCAGCCAGATCTATTAATCAGTTCATAAAGCCTGACCATCAAACACACAATGAAGACAAATTAAATACCAATACTGAACCTCAAAAGCTTTTCTTGTTTTGGAAACAATGTTAAAGTATATTGAGTGGTCAGTGTTTTTTTATGAAAACAGAAGTCAATCTTCATGTCTCATATTACTAGCTATTTTACTGATGATCTCAGCCTATGAGTGATGGTTAGTTGGATTACATATATGAACTGATTACCTCTGAAAAACAGGTGTAACTTTCTGCTTCGTTCTAAAATATCCCCCACGCACTCAGGTTTCAGGAGTAAGGATTGTGTGACTGGATTCTTCTTCAAATGAATATTTTATGCAATTTTTCACTAGCAGTTTTAGACTGATAATTTGGATACTATGCTTAAACTGAGCAGCTCATTGATTTGAGAATAAATGCCCTTTGCCTAGAACTTCATACAGCGCTTCTCAATTACATATGTCCATAACTTTAAAAGTCTAAACAAGCTGCTGATATCCTGAAATTTATTTTGGAAGAGATTAAGATCATTAGTGGATCTTGTATTTTGTCCCCCACCTAACACACTATGGAACTGAACAGAACACATACTTGGATGAATCTTTCAGCCCTTCAGTCTGCTAAGCTTCAGAGCTGCTTATTTTCAGGTTACCACATCCCTTGGTGCGACACAGCTAAACCTACTGTTTTGAGAATGATGGATGTGAAGAAGGTACCTACTGAGGCACACTCTTCCATGTGACTGCAGAGAGGGAATCTGCTGCATCCAGACAACAACTCAGGAAGATGAAAGTAATTCTGCACGGACACAGCAGTCCAACCTGTCAGTTGTGAAACTGAGCCTAATCTTTCGGCTATCTCTCCAACATGACTACAGTAACATGTCTCAATTACATTTAAATTAAGGTGTGCATTTTATGACTATGCATTTATAGACTGACTTCAGAGACTTAATAGAGCAGTAGTGTTTTAGATAATGGCCTCAGTAGGATCATGGATATGCAACCCTTATGCCATGTTTTGCTTTGAGCAAGAACATGGATTCAGCTTCAGGAAATAAACTTATTAAATTCAAATGTAAAAACTAAATATGCTCCATGAACACTGGGTCCTTGCTAAGCTACATTCCTAAAAAGAATGCATTTTGCTAGGTGATTTTAGAAAAACCTATTAGAACTTTATCAACATGTAAAAAGAATCTTAAGTAACTTGGTATGAAGTAAAGCACCGTCGTTGAACTGTCTTAAATTACCTCCAGTAGCCCATTTGAAGTTCCAATACCAATAGAATTCAAGAAAGGAATAAAGTTTGTGAAATATACATTTTTGACCTAAAAAAAAAGAAAAAAGAAAAAACGTAACATTACATAACAGAGGCAGCCATGCATAACTTTTTTCACATCTTTAACACAACACTAAATGAGACACTTCTGTAATGCACTGTGTTTTGTTTTCAACATAGCAAGAATTAAATTTCCTACATATCCAAAAGGTAGTGAAATGTAAGCATGCAGAATATAGTCCATTATTGGAACATTAAAACTGGGAAAGAACTAAACTTCCCAGCCCTCTTCTATTTCAATTTTCATCGTCTACTTGGGTATTAAACCAAAACAAAACAGTCCTTCCCAGAATCACAGAACCTTAGGGGTTGGAAGGGACCTCGAAAGATCACCTAGTCCAACCCCCCTGCCAGAGCAGGGTCACATCACACAGGAACGTGTCCAGGCAGGTTTTGAATGTCTCCAGAGAAGGAGACTCCACAGCCTCTCTGGGCAGCCTGTTCCAGGGCTCTGTCACTCTCACAGGAACGAAGCTTTTTCTGATGTTCACATGGAATCTCCTGTGTTCCAGTTTGCACCCATTGTCCCTTGTCCTATCACTGGACACCACTGAGAAGAGGCCTGGCTCCATCCTCCTGACACTCACCCTTAATATATTTGTAAACATTGATGAGGTCACCCCTCAGTCTCCTCTTCTCTAAGCTAAAGAGACTCAGCTCCCTCAGCCTTGCCTCATCAGGGAGATGTTCCACTCCCTTAATCATGCTTGTGGCTCTGTGCTGGCATCTTTCAAGCAGTTCCCTGTCCTTCTTGCGCTGAGAGGCCCAGAACTGGACACAATATTCCAGATGTGGCCTCACCAAGGCAGAATAAAGGGGGAGGAGAACCTCCCTTGATCTACTAACCACATCTACACTACAAGGGCACATTGCTGGCTCATGGCCATCCTCCTGTCTACCAGGACCCCCAGGTCCCTTTCTCCTACACTGCTCTCCAGCAGGTCAGCCCCCAACCTGTACTGGTACATGGGGTTGTTCTTCCCCAGATGCAAGACTCTACACTTGCCCTTGTTGAACTTCATCAAGTTTTTCCCTGCCCTACTCTCCAGCTTGTCCAGGTACTGCTGAATGGCAGCACAGCCTTCTGGTGTGTCAGCCACTACTCTCAGCTTAGTGTCATCAGCAAACTTGCTGAGGGCACACTCTGTTCCCTCATCCAGGTCGTTGATGAAAATACTGAATAGCACTGGTCCCAGTACTGACCCCTGAGGGACTCCACCAGTCACAGACCTCCAACTAGATTCTGTCCCATTGACCACAACTCTCTGACTTCTTCCTTTCAACCAGCTCATGATCCACCTCACTACCTGATCATCATGGCCACACTTCCTCAGTTTATCTACAAGGATGCTGTGGGAGACAGTGTCAAATGCTTTCCTGAAATCAAGATAAACCACATCTACTGCTCTACCATTATCTATCAACCTAGTTACTTCTTTATAGAAGGCTATAAGGTTGGTCAAACGTGACTTCCTCTTGGTAAAACCATGTTGACTGCTCTTAATGATCCTCTCAACCTTGATATGCTTAGAGACAGTGCCAAGAATAAGTTCTTCCATCACCTTCCCAGGGATGGAGGTAAGGCTGACCGGTCTATAGTTACCTGGGTCCTCCTTCTTGCCTTTTTTGTAGACTGGAGTGATATTTGCTGTTCTCCAGTCCTTAGGCACCTCTCCTGTTGCCCTCCTGTTGTCCTTTTTACACAGGAATAGATTTATCAGTGCAGAAAAAGAGAAGTGGGGTCTTTAAGGTCCCACATAGAAGCTATGTGGTTTTTGTGTGCATTTTCTCACAGTGGGATGCAGCTGTGAAAACCAGTCAGAACAGCCTTGTATCCACACACTACAGGCTGTGATCAGCACTTAACTCTCTGCTGCATTCTTCACTCTTCCGTTTAAAGGTATCACCCATTCCAAAGGGCTTGGGTTTTGTTTGGTGTTTTTTAATTACCTGCTAGAGAAGCTAAGAGAATGGCAGAATACCTCCATTATTGAACTTGAGGGAACCGTTAGGCAAGCACAACTATTGAGATTTTAAAAGACCACTTAAATAAATGCATATTCCAGGTGGGGTTTAGCAGAAAGATCTAAGAGGCTTTAAAACACAGGCATTACCTCATCTAAATTACAACCATGCTCTTTACAAAGGACTTCAATAACTTTTGTATCAGTATCAATTTGCTTTGCAGTACGTGTATTCCTGTTCTGACCTCTTCTTGGAGTTCGAGCTGAACCATTAACAGTCACTGCAGTCACAGCAGACTCTGGAAAGACAGGCAGAACCACCATAAGGTTAGAGTCTTCTTAAGAAAGATTTAAATTATTAAACCTAAGGAGATTTAAATTTTTATATGGTTTTTCAGGTCCTCTTCTTAAATATTTCCCTTTTCATCTTGCTGAAAAAACATAATTACAGGAAGTATATACAAAAAGAAAACTAAATTTTAAATTCCCATATCAGTATTTGGACAGTTTGCTTTTTAAAAGGTCTTCCACACAGAAGGTAACAGCACCTGCTCTAAGTAGCTTTGAATAAGCATTGGGTTTGCAAAGTTAGAGTAACTATTTTTTCTATTTTTACAGAAGTGTGAAAGAAGGAGCTGAAAGAATAACTCCACTCTATGTGGCTGAAGTGAATGAAGCCACACAAGGCTTAAGTGCTGGTGGGAACCTGGCATATAGTTCTGCTGAGAATTCTTCCTTCTCTCAAATACTTCCAAGCAACAAATAATAAAAAAAATAGTTCATCTAGAAAAATATATCAAAACCCCTTAATTAACTGAGGTAAAAATGTTTCATTTTATTACACTTCAAAGTAGAAGGCTTCAATACTGTCAGCTTGAAAGATCTAATTAATCATCATGCTGCTCTTATTTGTAAATTCATCTGTATTTGATAAATGTTCTGAGAAAAACTGACACTATACTGCTCGGGTGGTTGCATCTTAATCTCCTCAGATCATAAAGCCTGACATCATTTCTCAGAACATGAAGCCTCTGGGTCACGAGGATTTGAACAACACGTTGTGTTGTTTGCTAGAAGAATGAAGCGCTGTGTAACAGTTCAGACAGGACCTGCACATGTCATACAGCTTCAAGTCAGAAATACAGTGCTTCACACTTAAGACAGTGATACACATATTCACTATTTCATCTGAAGTAGCAGCATGTCTTTTCAAGATACAATGCACAGAACCAAACTGTTCCTAATAAGGAGCTCCTAGTCTTCATAGTTTCACTGAAAATATAAGTGTGAAGAGAGTTCAGAAGCAGCTTGTTCCAATTCAGTGCTCTTTGAAAAACATGTCCATTCAAGCCAACTGTGGCTGTATACCATCTGAAGTAAGTAGTACCATATGTCTGTCCTACAACTGACAAATTTAAATTCAACATAGTATTGAAGGAGGGGGATTTGCTTGCCACAAGCCCATCCCTTCCCACCCTTAATTTGCACTGGCATTAGAACAAAAGCAAGAAAGTTTTGGTATTAAAAAAACAGGTTGTTTGTTCTTACCTGCAACAAGTAATTACTAGGTCAGATAAGTATCTTCCAAAACATGGAATTTAAAGAATATAGCAGGGAATACATCATGTATTTTATCACACTGTTACCCAAATGGGTGTTTAGTTGTGAAACAAAGAAATAAAGCAAGTAAGCTTAGGCTATAAATACTAGTGTTGCATCTAAATCCAGCAGAGGATAAAGCTAGTTAGAACTAAAAAAATGTTTTCTACACACTGTGGTTCCAATTACTTCAGGATATCAATTCCATAGCCTGCAGAAGAAAATATTCCACAAAACCAGAATTCTGTGTTTGAAAAAGAAGTTACTGCTGAACAGAAGTTTCTGTAGTTGATTAAAATTTGCCAGTAACAAAGGGGAAGCAATAAAAGCAAAGTTACCTGTTTTACCTCTGCCATTTTATTTTAAGCTACCACTGCAGTTAGGTTGTCTATCCACCATATATTACTTTTAAATGCCTGTATAGTCCAGTATCTTGTACATTTCTGTTGCCATTATACTGCTGGATTTCAAAGAAATGACAGTCACAGCACCATCTTTTCCTATTGTTAACTCAAAGCAAACCTAAGTAATAGTTTTCAGTCATCATCTACCCAGAACTTGAATTTTTTTACATAGCAAATGTATGGCAGGAACAGAAAAAAACATTAATTATATTAAATACACTGCCACATTCAAGTAAATTAATTCAAGTTCACCATCATCTTAATTGAACTAAAGTATCAAAAAATCCATTCTAATAAGCTTTAAAAGTTCTGTTATCTTAATTATTAATGTTAGCATGACTCTAAAATAAATTTCAACCAATTTACTTTCTATTTTAGTGGGAAAAAAAATAACATCCTTACTGTATGGTTCCTTGAGCATAGCAGGAGGTGACAACTTGATAAAATAATCTAAGACACACAGCAACAAATGGAAAGAAATCACCAGGTCATCTTCCACTTGCAACACTTTACCTGCAAATATTTAAAAAGGTAAAGAAAACATTGTGAGATGTCTAACTTAATTTTAGAAGTAATTTTGAAAAAATACATATTTGGAAGTTCATTTAATAAAACTCTACAGTTAAAATTCATAACATGTTTCTTCAAAGGTTTATTGATGCATACATAACACATTCACTGTGCACAAAATCCCTACCTCTGTGCTGCTTCCTGATTTCTTCTTCGTTTTACTACAGTGGAGTAACTATATTAATTTACTGTAGTTTATAGAATAATTCACTTGCTTGTATTTCTCATGCCTGTGCAATTCTCCCTCAGTTTCTTTTTTGTGGTCTTACACAAGCTCTATGAAAGCTACTAAGTAACCAGAAAGCAGAAGTTGCCAGTTTATAGTGAAGAGAAATTCAAACATGCTATCACACAATGTGCTCACCTGCCAAACTTGTATGAGATTACTTAAGAATCACATAAATATTAGCCCTAAGAGTACTTTCAAAACTACATTATTGCAGCTGTTCCCAAATTATCATTCATATGCCAGAGTTGATCTACAGAGCCATTCCAAGACTCCAAAAATCCGGAAAGCTGATAGCGATCCAGAACAGCTACAAACCACCACTTGTGCTCTATTTACACATGCAGTGTTTGTATTATTTTTTATCAGAATTAGAAAGCATCACTCAGGCTCTCCTGTGACTTCAACTATTTGCTAGTAGATTTCAGCTTTCCTTATTCTCAGTGAAAATAGAGCCTAGAACAACTTTGTGGGTTTTGCTTTACACTTATACTTGGAGAGTTCTAGCAAAAAAGCTGATCCAAAACTGATTTTGATGGCAGAGATGTGCACACTTTGTTGATAACACAGACCTGCAGTAAGCAGCAATTAAGATACCTGACTCACTCATTTTCAGGGGAGGAGTACAATGAGACAGAATTCCATGGACTACTCCACTTGTTTTCATCACTTAGTTCTAACTGGAACTTCTGCCTTTTCAAGAAAGAATTGTAGCATTCAAAGGGCATAATTTCAGGGACTGATTATCTTATAATAGTATCTTATTGTTAAATTTATTTTATTTATTTATATTCTCTATATTTATAATACATAATGTATTTATTATATATATAAGCCAATTTTTTTTAATCTGCTAGTCTTTTCAGGTTATCATCCTTTATTAAAACATTGGCAGACTACAAAGCACCACAGAATAGACTTAAACACAGAATACCAACCTTTAAAGTAAAAAAGAAAAATACATCTTAGAAAACTTAAAAACATATATATTTATATACAGGAAGTAAGACCAGTTAATAGAATAGTCAAACTGCATGAAAAGAAATGTTACTGAGTAGCTACAAAAGTCATGCAGTCAAAACATTCTGGGCTTCTACTATGCATATCTGTAATAAGGATGCTAATCTCACACCAGACGTGTAAAACAAACTCATAAACTCAATTCAACAATATTCATTAAGATAACTGTCTTTTAATCAAAACTCACCTTTTGCCAGCAAAAAAGTAATCCAATAATTTTTTAGGACTAATACAGAACTGAGTTCAGCAGAAATCCTGTAGAGACACAAGACCAAAGACTTTGCTTTAACAAATCTGTAATAATTAACTTTAATTTCTGAAAACATGTTTCAGTCTTTGGAACAATTTAGCACAACATGCAACATTTCCCATATAGTTAAGTTTATAAGTTAATTCATTCCATTCCCCAGGCAATTATGAGTACACATTTGAAAAAGTTAAGTTTCTGTAAAGCCATTCAAGGATTGGGAAAGACCTGTTTCATCTTTGGAGAAGTTAGTGTAGATAATTCACTTAACTGATACGAGCTGTCTTCTCTCTTGTGCCTTCAAGAAACACCCTATTCTCCAGTCACAGCATGACTGCAAGCTCACTTGGGAGTTGCTAAGGCATTTTTTCATCTACTCATTTGTTGCTATGATTAGAAAGCTCACTCCCCAAATGTTCATTTCCACCATGCTGAGACACCCATTATTGGGTGGCAATCCTTCATGGAAGAAGTGATTAAATACAGAATCACAGAATGGTTTGGGTTGAAAGGGACCTTAAAGATCATCTAGTTCCAACCCTCCTGCATGGGCAGGGACACCTCCCACTAGACCAGGTTGCTCAAGGGCCCATCCAACCTTGAGCACTTCCAGGGACGGGGCATCCACAACCTCTGTGGCTCTCATCTCACTGAAATTCAAGGTCCCACTAAATCAAAATTAAACACATTATATACTATGACTTAGGTTAGTCTTAATGGGTTAAAAGGTAAGTGCCAACACATTTTACATCCTATCCTGACAAACACAATTTAGGAAAGTCAAACTTACTCACTACTAGGTTGTTCCAGATAAATAAGGCCACAAGTCCTAGGAAAATAAATAAATAAATACATAGATTTAAGCACTTTTCCAAAAAACAAACTATGCATTATCTTCGACTTCAATATAGTAAAAAGTATGTCAATACACAAAACATTCTGGCACTAAAAAAATGCTGACATTTGGAGCACAGATTAACAACAGACCAACTGCAGCCCTGTCTGACCTGAAATAGTGCTGTTGCTTACATGCAGATGTGAAAGCTTAAACAGGAAAACAATTTTAATTTGGTATAATAAAATTTGCTATTGTTTTCATCCAGAAAGAGAAGATTTGGGGCTTGTAAATCACAGCAAAATATGTGCTAGAGCTGTGCAGAACACTCCATAAAAAGGCATTTTAAAACCTTTACTATTTCTGCAGTGTCACTGCAAGCCTTGTGGTGTTATGTTGCTTCCTAATTATTGTAGGTACATGTCATTTCAAGAAATAAATTCAGTTTGTTCAAAAACAAAACAAAAAACATTTCAAATCCCGTTTGAAAAAAATTGTTACTGCAATTCAAGTTGCAAAAAAGTAAGCAAGTGAAGAAGTTAGAGGAGGGACAAAAATCAGAACTTGCCTGTGTAAATCTGCAATGACACTTTTATACCCCAGAAAAAGACATGGAGTTACTAAAAAAAAAACAACTTTCCAGGGTCATTTAAGGAATATTAGAGAGCCTTTTTTGGTTTGGGAGGCAAAATGTTTCAGTGATTCCAATTCCTACAGGTGAAAGATAACAGCATTCTGAAGCAATGGTATCAAATAATACAAGCATCATAGAATGATGCTTCAATGTTTTAAACATGAAACAGTTTTCTACAGGTATGTGCGACAGAGTATTTCACAGACCAATTTAAAATCACCTCAGAGGATATCAGATCTTGCCAATATGCATCTGTGCTAGCACATATTAGCCTGTAAAAGGACCTAAAGCCCTTATCACCTCTGGCTTCACATTAAAGCATAGAGTTCAGCAAATTACCCCCCTGGAGTAACAGCAGCTCAAAAAAGCATCCATTTGAGAATCTCCTGACTTTCAAGTTGCACACAGAAAGCTCTCAGCACTCTGCTATAAGCACATTCAATTTGTTCTGTACAAAGAGAATCCCTCTCGATTTTCGTTGCACAGTCAGCTAAACCACTTTGGAAGGTTTATATTGTTTACAAGTAAGAACTGCTAATAGAGCAGGATCTGCAATGCCCTTAGACACTGGAACAAACAGCCTTCAATCCCAGATCTGGGAGAGAGAATCTATCTTATTGTGGTTTTTGTTTTTTTCTTTCCAGAGCTCCATAAAAGAAACTCTTGGATCAAGATTTGGGAACGAGTGGGCAGGTAGAAATGGAAAGTCCACTAAATAAGAAGAAATATTAGACAGTAAAACAATCCTCCTCATATCTGTAAAAAGCTTAATGAAAGGACTAGCAACCATTTGTCATGTGCTCTCACTACTGTTGGCACTGCAACAAGGGGTTTGTTTACCAAATCATTGCAATAGCTGGGGAATAAAATGTAAGATATGTTTATTCAACGCATGTAAACAGTTCCGCTTCACTGTTCTGTAAATATTAGTTCAAATGGGCTCTCCTAATGTACCATTATGAAAATCTTAATACTTAGATGTTGACAGCCATAAAAAATGAATAATTTAAAAATGAAAAACATACACTACCTTTCAAACTTGTGGTATAGTGCAAGTAATACATCATATTTCTTTTTCAGCCTTGATACAGTGCTATCAACTTTAGTGCTTACAGTATCCATGTTAACATCCACCTCTTTCAGAAACTGAAAAAATGCACATACACTGAAGGGAAAAAAAAAGAGAAAGATGACAGATCATCACAATTCTGAGAATGAGAATTCTGAAATAGATATAGAAAAAAAAACAACAATACCAAAACCCACTGCCTTACTTAACTAGACCCCAGCATACTCTTACTACAACTAGCAGTGACTTGAGAACCTTGCCTTGGGAAACACTACTTGTTTACCTCAAGCCTCACCTTTACGTTTTCCAGATGTAGGGATGTCCAACTAAGTAGCAGAGGCATCTTGCGATATGGGCTCTACTACAGAGAGAGACTTTTCTTGGCTAGCAGAGATATTACCTCTGGAAGGCAGAATTTCCTAACCAGAAACATTTTCCTTGCTCTGCCAGCAAAAACACAGATATCCACAGATATCTTGACTCTTCTGTTCTACCTGAAACTTCTACTTAGAAATGTTCTTACCACTCTAAAAACAAGAACTTTGGCTCCATCCATGCTATAGAGGGACCTAGGCATGAAAACCAAGATGAATGTATTGAATTACATGGACCAAAGTTTTTCCTGCTTATTCATGTAATATTATGGCCATCAGGAAAGCCACTTATTGTTATGTTCATAAGGAAAATTAGCAGATTGCTAAAAATTAACAAAGAGAAAGATATCAAGTAAATTCAACCATTTCAGCAATATAAAATATATTTTGATCCTTTTTCAGAATACAGTATTCTGAGATTTTTTTTTAATCTTTGTCAGATTAAAAAACAGAACACAAAACCAGTTAGACATTAATTCAGGATTTTTTTTACTGTGCAATGAAGAATCCTCCCAATATATCTATGTGGCTCTAGACCATAAGATGACTGATACAAATCTCTACCAGTTTGGCCTTAGAGATGACAAAAACCCCTGGGCTAACAAGCAATTGAGCACTGCTAAAATCAAAATCAGCAGAGTAATAGCTAACTCTTAGAAACCCTAATGGAAACAGTCTCTTTCAGTTTGCAGTGCAAGCTGGTATGTACTCAGGTGGAACATGCTGAAGGTGGCTGCACAGATGCAATTAGATTTCATCCACATGGGTCAACATCAGTCATGACTGAAAAGATTGTGTCAAAACACAGGAGCCCACTGCAGCTCTGGGAGATAATGTAAGGTAAAAAAGGCATGGAGAAGCCTTGCCATAACAGATGATCTCCAGGAAAAGGATATTCCGTCCCAAGTCTGGGGCTACCACCACAACTTGCCCAGCATTCTGCCCTCACCTCCTGCCCTAGAGCATCCAAAGGCTCTGCTCCAGCACAGGCTGTTGGTACATGGCACAGTTATTAGGCAGACAGCACTGGAATTCTCTCCTTGAATGAATCTAACACAAGGTAAGCCTACTGCTGTTGGCACCTATATTTACCTTAAAAGCGGGTACTGTCCTACAATATTAATTTCTGTATTATGAACTTAGTGTATATACAACAGTAACAATCCCCTACTAAAAAGCATGTACAAAAGTATGAAATTTAGACTGGATTCAAAATACTTGAAAAAGACCAGCATGCTGGGAAACTATTTGAAGAGTAACATTTTTTCCCACTTATTGATTTAACCTAAGCCTAATGTTGCAAAAAATGTTTTATAGAAAACCTTGATACAGAAAAAGGAAAATATTAAAAATGTAATTTACACCAATTTAAACTGATTAAGACTTAAGGTTAAGCATGAGCAAGAATCACCTTTGTGATACAATCAAAGCCAATCACAGTTGAATCACACTAGTACAATTGCTCCTTCAACTAAAATATGGCAGCAAGACTCCTAGGTTACCAAAATATTTAGGATTGCCATAAGTAACTTTTACTTTAAAATTAACCTGCCTGATATGCACAAAGTTTCACAATACTTTTAAAAACATTCTCTTTATAAAAGTGTTGGCTATTTCATGTTGATATCTAACTTTAAACACTTAAATTCACTTACCTTATGTTTATACTTTTCAGAAGCTCTGTGAAAGTGAATGTCACGTCATCCAGATCAATAGCTACAATAAAGATACAGACTCCCCATGTTTCCTTTTTCTTTTTGTCATAAGCCTTTTAGAAAAAGAGAAGACAGGTTTTATCTTTATTATGCAATAAAAGTGGGTAATACATAGAAAGCATTAATTTGTCCAAACTAGATTAGAAATGGTAAAAAAAACAAAACACCCTCAAGCAAACATTTGACTATGATAGCAAATTATTTGATAACTGAAAACTATTACAAGTTTAACATTACAGATTAAAGTCCACACACTTCAACCCTTATTCCTAGAGTACAGGATGAATTTTACCCATACAATTCAGCAAAGCTTCAAAACAGAACCTTTCGTACCACAGAACATTTATGCAAAGCAGACACCACGATTATTATTTTTTTTTAAGTTACTACATCTGACCACAACAAGAATGAGGTGAGAAGCCACATTAAAGACATACAAAAGCACTACAAGGACAGGCAATACTAACAAACTTTATTTTCCACCTAGGTTTCAACCACTCATCACAGCTTTGTTTAGTAAAGCATGATAGTAACAAGCACCTTCAGACACTTTCCTACCATACATGTACATTTAAGGTCTGTCTTCTGCTGTTTAGAAGCAAGGTATAAGTTGTAACCAACCATTCTTCACTAAAGAAAAGCCATGTGTCATTGCAGGATGCCATCCACAGGGAGCTCACTCTTGATAGCTCACAATCTACTCACTTGGAGCCAGCCAGGCATCTGTTACAATTCATGTACCCTTCCACCAAAACAGCATCTCAGTGGAAAACCTCTACAGAGCATTGCTTTGTGGAAGCATGGAAGAAAAAAACTTTAGCAGGAATACCACAGGTTTTGGAAAAAAAAGCTATTTTGAAGACAGAACTTAGTGTGGGTGCAGCACTGCAAGACTCCTAAAACAGCCAACTCATAAAAAACTCTTCAGGCATTTAGGATCCTTGTAAATAAATCTCCAGCATCACCCACGCCTACAGTTGCTTCCACAAAGGAGCAGCATCTAAGCACATCTCTCAGCAGCTCTAGGTTGGATGTGACATCTGTTAGAGGACAGTGGTGAAACAGACCCCTGGAAGCAAGCAAGCTAAAATACTGAACTTCTGCTCTCCTACATTGCTCAGTTTTAGCCCACTCCCTGGCCTGCTTTTTGATCCTTTCCCGGATCACTCCACCTAGCCGCCTCGCAATCACCACCAATGCGAGCCACGGAGGCCAGTCCACTCTAGAAAACACACCCCAACAGGCAAGAGGAGTAAGACTTCTCCAGACCTGGCTCGCTCCATCTTACATAGTCTTCCAAAACTACCCCAAAAGGCTCTGCATCCTCAGCACCTGCTCGTGTCCTCCTTTACTCAGCAGCATAATCATGACAAACAGATTGCTGTGACCACAAATGATACAACAATTTCACTAACACTGCCAGTGATTATATAAATATTTTCTTTGCAATTGCTCTACTTCTTCCTTGGGGCCAATGTTTATACATCCATGAAGACTGGCTGGGGCCTTCTCCAAAGAATGAAAAGTTCCATGGTTTGTGCAACTGATAAGAGTTATAGTACAGTCTTGAGCACGAAGGTAGCCAGCCACCTTCAACAACACGGTAAGTGCCCATTATTAAAGTCACTACTTCCTTCCTGCACTCCTATTTTAATGTTTCTATGAATCATGACACCTTGTACAACAGAAAATTATTTGAAAGAACTTATAAAAAGACTGAGATGTATTTGATGATAAATAAAAGAACGGACAGTAATATCTAATACTCCTTGTCTCTTTTTTACTGGAAACTCTCACTTTTTCAATATTTTATGTACCATCATATACCACCAGGAACCTAAAGGTGAAGCAAAAAAATGCTCATGAGTTGTTTTGCACAGAAGAAAAGCTTTGCTAAGGGCTGCTCTCTCAACATCTCAGCCAGTTGCAATAATCTTTTGCTAACAGGTACAACAAGCTACCAGGCACATAAGAACAAAATATATCCCATAGGATGGGGATACCTTATTTTCCTGCATTAATGTGTCTGTGATGCATTGTAAAAAATGTTGAAGGTCAAGGCTAGCTACTGATCTATAAAAAAGAAAAAAAATTACTACTAACTTACTGAGAACATGTGTTCTATTAATAATGTCTGAGGGAGTTGGGGCTGTTCAGCCTGGAGAAGAAAAGGCTCCAGGGAGACCTTACAGCAGCCTTCTGGTACCTGAAGGGGCTACAGGAAAGCTGGGGATGAACTTTTTATAAGGGCATGTGGTGACTTTAAGCTGGAAGAGGGTAGATTTAGGTTAGGCATTAGGAAGAAGTTTAAGAAGATCTTTAAGATCCCTTCCAACCCAAACCATTCTATGATTCTATGACACCACTACCACTGGAGTTGGCTGACCTTGTTTAATAAATAAATAAGTTCACATCACTTCATGCTCCTGCACACTCAGACCATGATGTTGGTCTGTAAATCTCCACATCTAATAGGGTAGGCAGACAGTGCTAGAAGAGGTGAAATTGTTCCTGGTGTGTTGCCTGTCCCAACAAGCCTAGCTCTACTAAGCAACTTAGCTCTATCCTGGGAGAATAAATGCTTGAAGGCTTTAGTAACACTTTATGTGCTAAGAGTGAGATCTGGTTTTGCAAGAACAATCTTTATACTCCTTATCCAGTATGGTTTGGGGTAACAACTCATTTATTTCCACCACTAAACAAGACGCAGCCTCAGATTCAGCCTGTCAATCCACTAGCTTCAAACCATTATGCTGAATCAAATTCTAATATCAGGACAACACCTTTCTGCACACCCGGTGTAACAGGACACTTTGGGCACCTTCTCAGACAGAAGATGGTCTAACAAAAAAATTACAGAGAATCCAGGATAAACAAATAGATTATTTTCTCCTAATAGCAAAGAAAAGGTGAGCAGCACCTGAGCATGCATGCCTCTTGACATCAGCTGAGGAATGGAGAGAGGGAGGAAGAATAGGAACAAACACTACTCTGGGACTATCCCACCACCTACTGCTGGTTACAATAGCAGAAGACACAGGTAAACTGCCCATATCCATGCATGAAGACTTAAGTGATTTTAATACATAAAATATAAACATGTGGTAGGAGAAGGGGAGAAGAGATAAGGAGAGGTCTTCCTGGCAAGTAAGACTCCTGAGCATTCTCCTCTTCATGCCCCTTCCCTCCCAAAGCTCACAGACATTATTCAAGTTCTTTCCTATACAATGAGTTAAAGCCGATTGCAGAACAAAAATGCAGCAGCATCTCTGTTCAACTATTTCGCCAGGGTCATAACTCCAGGGGAGCCAATCCTACAACACAAATTAACAGTTTGTTTACAGCCAAAGCCAGACAATTCATCCCAGATGGACTTGAGGGCATGGGAATGAATGTAAGACAAATTTCCAGCCAGCAATTAATTTCTGAGGGTTTTCTTCTTGACCACACAGTCTGACTCATGACCTTTGTTGATAAAATACCACTACAGAAAATGGACAGGACAACAGCTTAACGTTTGTCCTTGGCAGTCAGTCAGACTCATTAAGATGGATTCCAGTGACATTATTTAAATTGATCGTGAATCAAAGCCTACCAATCACTAATGCAAATATTACTTAGCACCTAGTAGCCTTCACAGATTTCTTTCTTTTTTCTTTTTTTTTTAATTTAGGATTCTGAGGAACCAATGTTCTAACTTTGGGCAATGTAGGTTAGTTCTAATGAATTAATATTGTTTTTTATAGGAAAAGATCTAAAACTCTCAGAAACTCTTTCAAAATATTAATTTCCCATTCCAGACCTACTATTACTATTATTTAATCTATTTTTAATAGGTGATCGGTTTGCCTAAATCTACTGAAAACAACCTGCAGGAGTCATCTTGCCTCTTCTTTTCACATGTTGTTTTGAGGTGTTAAAGGTACTAACAAAATAACTTCTGTTCTCTACCTTGAGCGGTTCTCCACTGCTAAACCAGTCACAAGGAGGAGATGGTTACAGGAAGTCTCAGTTCTAGTTTGCAGTTACAGATGTTTATTATTCTGCCAACACTGGTAACAGTTTTTGTGACAGCCTACAAAAGTGATCCAGGAATAGAAACTTCCAATTATGTTGTGTAAAAGAAGGTCAAGAGAAATGTACATGAGAAATATGCAAACACAATGGGTATTTGAATCACATGGGATATGTCACACTGTGGATACCAAAAACCTAATTTTTTAAGGGGAAGATGTGAAACTTGCTGGCTTACTAATTTTTCAGCTACCATGACCTAATCAATATAGAGAACAAACTAGATGCTACAAGAAACACTCACAGAATCACAGAACTGTCAGAGATGGAAGAGACCCCCAGAGGTTATCTAGTCCAACTCCCCTGCTAAAGGGGATCCCCTAGAGCACATTACTCAGGGCTGCATCCAGGTGGGTTTTGAGTATTTTCAGAGAAGGAGACTCCACAACCTCCCTGGGCAGCCTGTTCCAGTGCTCTGTCACCCTCACACTAAAGAAGTTTTTCCTCCTATTTAAATGGAACTTCCTATGTTCATGTTTGTGCCCATTGCCCCTCATCCTGTCACTGGGAACTACTGACAACAGTCTGGCTCCATCCTCCTTGCACCCACCCTTTAGATACTTACAGATATTAATAAGGCCTCCCCTCAGCCTTCTCTTCTCCATGCTAGAGTCCCAGCTCTCTCAGCCTTTCCTCGTAAGAGAGATGCTCCAATCCCCCTGTCATCTTCGTCACCCTCCACTGGAGTCTCTCCAGTAGCTCCCTGTCTCTCTTGAACTGTGGAGCTCAGAACTGGATGCAGTATTCCAGCTGTGGCCTCACCAGGGCAGAGTAGAGGGGGAGAATGACCTCTCTAGACCTACTGGCCACATTCTTCTTTATGCAACCCAGGATTCCATTGGCCCTCTTGGCAATAAGGGCACACTCCAGGCTCATGGATAATTGACTATCTACCAGGACTCCCAGATCCTTCTCCTCAGAACTGCTTTCCAGCAGATCCATCCCTAACCTATACTGGTGCATGGGGTTCTTCCTCCCC